GTACCAACACACACTCACCTGTACACACTGTACACACAAACACTCACCTGTACACACTAACACACTCACCTGTACACACTGACACACTCACCTGTACACACTGACACACTCACCTGTACACACTACGCACTCACCTGTACACACTAACGCACTCACTGTACAACTGTACACCTCAACTGTACACACACCTCACCACTCACCTGTACACACCGTCACCTGTACACTGCACACACACACTCACTGTACACACACACTCACACTGTACACTCACTACACACACCGACGCACTCAACCTGTACACACCACAACTAACGCACTCACCTGTACACCGACACACTGTAACACTACACACTCACTGTACACACACACACTCACCTGTACACACCGACACTCACCTCACACTGTACACACTAACACACACACTGTACTGTACACGACACACACTTAACACACTGTACACACCGACACACTCACCTGTACACACTAACACACTCACCTGTACCTGTACACACTAACACACTCACCTGTACACACTGACACACTCACCTGTACACACACTCAACCACTCACCTGTACACACTAACACACTCACCTGTACACACTAACACACTCACCTGTACACACCGACGCACTCACCTGTACACACCAACACACTCACCTGTACACACGACGCACTCACCTGTACACCTCACACTCACCTGTACACACTAACACACTGTACACACACACCGCACTCACACTGTACACACCACACACTCACTGTACACACACACTCACCTGTACACACTCACTGTACACACACCACCAACCTGCACTCACCTGTACACACCACACACCTGACACCTGTACACAACTACACAACACACTCACATACACATACAAGCCAGGTGTGCTCTATCGAGTTATTATAAGCAGAAATCAAACTTTATCTGCATCATTTTTGGAGTCGCCATGTTTGTTTTGGTCGGCTGAGGCACTTTGTCTTTGGTCTCTGCCCAAACCACAATGCTGCTCTGTGATTGGTCCAAACTGGTCCAAACATTACAGCAGGAGCCTCATTCTTGTTAGTTTGTAAACTCACGAATATCACGGGGGTTCATCTTTCTGTGCAAGGTAACGGGCAGTGCTCTGTGCTCTCCAAATGTTTGACTGTAAGTTAAGTAAAAAATTATAATGTTCAGTAATTGAGTAATTTTGAAATAAGTCAACCATAAGTCTTTATTACTGTTTACTGTTGCTAGATTGGGAAGACAGACAGGATGTAGGCAGTTTTACACTTGTCCTGGTTTGGTCCTGGTTGAATCCTGATCTAGTTCTGGTTCAGTACCAGTTTTGGTCAAAAAAGATCTACCATAACAGAAAATCCATTTTGCCTGCTCATTTTTGCTCATGATAAAGTGCTGAGTAGTTTGAGTTTTGAACATGTGTAGGTTCCATGTGTGTGTGAAGCTCCAGATGTTACAGATGCGGATTAAACCGTTTATATCAATCCATAAATATAAAAAAAACCTCACTCACACGCACATGCACACACACATTCAAAGATTACCAAGCCCAGTTCAACCAGCCACAGAGATTACACTGCACTAACTCTCTCTCTTATATAACATTTGTAAACATGTATTATTAGAATTTTTCTTAACATAAGTTGGCATTTAATGGACCAGAAAATATAAAATAAATATACTGAGTTTGGTTGCATAATAACTGAACAGTTCATGCAGCCTTAAAGCCACAGTGTGTAACTTTCTGGAGGTGGCATGTCTCTTGTACGTTTCCATGGAAATAGAAAGTTCAAACCATACTTCACATGGACATAGATAAGCAGTAACATAATACTGTGGAAGATTATAGCCAAAGGAAACAAGCAGGAGTCAGATTCTTCTCCAGGCCAAGTAAGAGTCAGGTTTGTGGAGGTGCAAGAACCAGTTAAACAAAAAATCAGCTTTAATCTTTGTCTATTTTTTGTTTAAAATGTTACATACTGTGGCTTTAAGAAATTCCAGTTTCATTGATAGATGTAATCTTTATCCATGGGCTTCAGAATGATAAATAAAGAATTGGGACCACTGCCAAGATGATTAATAATTTAAAACAAACTGTTATATCTTTGAATGTGAAGAAGCCCTCAAAATGTTGCACATAACTGTCAGATGGGACTGGGTTATACACAAAACATTGAATTTGTGTAAAATATCCTGACCATTTGGAATCAGTTGTATGAAAAGATGTTGTCTTTGCTGTGTCAAGTGTGGTGTCACTGGAAAAACTATAGTCTCTGTTCACGTTACGTCACAAACCAGGCAGACGTTTGGAAACATGAGATGAAAGTTCCGGTGTAGTTCCCGACACTGGACTCACCGACTGTGATCAAACCCACTGGAGTAAATGTGATCAGAGGTAAAATGAAGACTGCAGACGCATGCGCTGTTTGGAATCATCTGGAATTTGGCGCCTCGTCTCTTCTAATCACATGTACCAGTACACTCGGGGTTGTGTGTTAGTGGGGAAATGATGAAAACTGAGGTGTGGTTGGAATTGTTGATTCGCCGAACATAACAGAACACTACAATGACACGGAGATGAAGAAAACTGGACCTGGGAAGTTGTCATCGCATCTTTCCAAACGTCTTTCTGGTCAGACATGATACAGTTTCCATCAGATTAATTCATTGTAGAGCTGGAGGCTGCTTAAAATGTATTTATGTCCATCTCTGTTTGCAGGCATCTATTAGTTACATGTCCATAACTTCAAGCTCCTGTATTACACAAGTGGATTCATGAGAGCTTTAAGTTATGTTAGAATGTCGTTACCTCGACCATAAATATATCTGGAGTTGTGTTTTGTTTCATTCACACATGCTTGAGTAACCCTTTATTATTAGTCTGTCTACATCTTGTGTCAGAATCATCAAAAAGTATCAGAAAATAGCGAATTATCAGCCATTGTTGTGTTGTAGCTCCTCTTGTGTCCTTCCTCTGTTTCCGAGGATGAGGAGCAGTTTACGCAGAGACGAAGCTCCGAATCAGGGTTAATCCTGTTAGGTCCAGGCACGAGACTTAGAGCTGCATGAGGTCATGTGATCAGAGCGTCAGCCGACCAAACTGCTCAAAGTACAATCACTGATATTAGCCATAAAAGAAGAATACAACAGTTTTATTGTGCTGCTGAAGCTTCATAAACATCTCCTCCTTTGCCTAATCCTCATTTTCCATTTCACTATTCCATATTTCATCAGGGTTTACCACATTAAATCATATAACTTTGTTTTTATTGGTTTTAAGTAACATTTCACAACATACAAAAACAATATAAAATCAAAAAACAATGTAACAACAGTCTGGAGTTACAGGTTCTTATTTAAACATGCATTGGTATTCTTGGTATGTACTTGTTGTTTTACTGGTGTCATTTATGAATTCCACTTCCACTTTTCCTATTGCTCATCGTATTTGTACCCTTTCAGTTTAAGATGATAAATTATTCTTTCCATCACTGAAATATTCTCCACAATCCTGATCCAGTCTTGTTGTGCAGGTGGATCTGGCTGTAACCAATTCTTTGTAATTCCATTTTTAGATGCAGCTAAAACAGTTTTTGTCAAATACATATGCTCCTTCCTTATTACATTAGATATGTTTCCCAGATACATCACCAGACAAGTGTTCAGAATTCCATATCCCAGAATACTCGTTAAGGTTGTGTTTAATTGTTCCCAGTTTGCCCTCATTTTCAGGCAACTCCAAAACACGTGTGTGATCAGCGTCCATTTCTCCACACAACCTCCAGCGCTCCTGCAGGGTGGAGCTTTGTCTACTTTTGATTTTAGGTGTAATGAAAAAATGTGCCAAATTCTTCCAGCAATATTGCCTCCACAACAGTGAATTAGTAGTACTACGGGCCCGGTCAAGCAGAAGTAAACAGCAAGGCCAAAAATTCAAGTTAATGCATCTGATATAAAAATGTATTGAACAGATACATATGTACTCTAGTTTATGAAACTGTTGACCTTTTTTCTGTACCATTTTTGGTTCTAAAGTTCCATATGTTTTAAACAGACCATGTATGAAACATGGAACAAAAAATATTTCCCAAATTTCAAAGACCCAAAAATCATGTAAATAAATGGATGTATTTCATCATATCTTGTGTTATTCCATCTTTGAACTGTTGATGAAGGTACATGATTAAAAAAAAAAAAAAGTATTTAAAATGGTAAAAATTTGCTTGGAAGGACTGACATATTTTATAGAAATAGTTTCTTTTCATTTTGAAGTAATATTAAAGTATTCAGTAGAAAAAAGCTGATAAATGATGTAAAATCCTGCACCTTCTTTTCCCTCCGTTACTTTTCCCTCCGTTACCATGACCTTTCTTCATAAAAAATCTCATGAGTCAAAAAGTAAGAGGTTTTTCAACCTAATCTTGTACCATATGGTAGAAAACTATATGAAGCAAATATTCAAACCAGTTTGTTAAGGATATGGAAGTGAGAACCAAGAGTTATCACTGTTTGGATTTATTGCCCAAAAAGTGCTGCATATTTCATTCCCTCCGTTACCGACATGAGTTTTTAAATTTTTTGTCAACAACTTGAAAGAATATCACAGGTTTAACTTGACCCTGTTGGAGTGTAACTCTTTCCTACATTCTGATACTTTACTTATTTCAATAGTCCCTCTAGTTTCTGAATAAGAGACATTTGAATGTCAAAAATCTGCCCCTGTTTCCCTCCGTTACCACTTGACTGGACCCTATGGTGTATTTCACACATCTGAAACCATTCTGCATCTGTTATATTCATTGACAACTCTGTTTCCCATTTCAGTTTTAGGTAAAGATTTGTTTCTTCTCTTCATTCCCCCAGAGAGTTGTAGAAAGCTGAAATGGCTTTTATATTTTTTTGTTCATATGAATCTTTCACTACCCCAATTACACCTAGTGTGTCCTCCCATGAGTCAGGTCTACTTTGTTTTGTATAGTAATCTCTCACTTGCAA